TGATGGTGGAGGGGTATACAGCTTCACTCGCTCTATAAGAGTTCTAGAGATAGATTACTACCATGGTCATAGGATTCTCTTACTAAAATTGCGATTTTGTCGCCGAAGTGCTCCACTTTGTATGTAATATTCGTACATTGCTTTTTCAATCGAAAGGTTCCATTCTAAGTAGGTGACTGTAGTCGATCGCTCCCTGCTTCCAATTTGTATACATGCTGGAAATTCAATGCAGGTTGTAGTGATGCAAACTCGCGTGTCCGCTTCACCAGTGTAGCAAAAAAGTATCTCCATGCCTACCTCCACATGATGAGAGTGGGATTCGAACCCACGCCCTTTCGGACCAGATAAACTGAGCACCACGTGCTCTGATCCTTAGTCTGGCGCCTTAGACCGCTCGGCCATCTCACCATGTAGTAAAGGGAATAAGTATACCTTGACAAATATTTTAGGCCAAGAAGAATGATATGAAAGAAAATACTTCCCTTTCCAGGTTCAGTTTGTCTTATTGTTCTGCATTGGGAAGTTGATCGTCCTCAGTTAACTTCGGCTGCCTAGCTTTCCATGCGGAAATTATCTTGGACAGTACATATCGTAATGGATCCAGCTCTCGGCATGTCAGTTCACAAATCACAACCTTGCTTCCGAACAGCCGCACATAACGATGGCCAATTCTCTAAGGTATGTATGACTTCCTATACTTTAAAATATGCTGGCCATAAGTAAAAAATCAAGAAGGAAGTTCACACGAGTACAAGGAGTACTGAACCGCGCCTGCGACACGGGCAAGCGCAGCTTGTTAAATCTGAGCTTTGAATGATCCGTAGTTAATCCGACTCAGGCCCGGTTCGAGAACAGAAGTTACAAAATTTTGTGTTCAGTTTTGAGTTGCCCTTGCCATTTCCGACTCGGACTTTTTCCGAAAACTTTTCTTAAGTCATATTAGTCACAAAATAGTCTGGCTGCGAGGGATACAATACTAAATTACTAATTGCATTGAGCTCTTTCTGATAAGGTTGCCTGCTACATTGTGTTATTCTGTGTTCACCTCAGAGCCCAAAATCACTAGAGAAAAGTTCAAAAAGGATGTACTTATTATTATAATCAATAATTTTGTCTTACAGTGGCTGTGATGGGCAGCAGCTTTGTACCTGCTTCATGCATATGTTGAACATAAATAGGGATCGGGAGCTGTAGTTTCATATATGCCCCTCTATCCATGTACTCGAAGTAATACAGGCATTATATGAAGAAAATTCATGTCACTACGTGACAGATTGTACAACTTTCCAGTAATTTTACCGAACACCGAGTTAATAGTTACACTTGGGCCGGATGGTACGGACTCTGCAGGAAACTTTTTCCTTGCCAAAAAGCAACTCAAAGTTTCATAACTTTGGTTCCCAAGCAGGATCTCAATGTGCAGATGAAATTTTGGCAACCTGGTCTAGTCTAGTAAGGGTAAGTCTGGAGACACTACTGTACGTTGATTCTGGAATCCAGCTATCTGTGGAGTCATAATGCTTTCGATATAATCGGAATGACTTGACTATAAAACCTCTTGATCCGGACTGTTATTAATACCATTGATTTTTGATGAGGACCAAATCATGAAACAGTTATTGGATCCTAGTTCTGATCCTATATTACTATTACCGCTGCAAAAGATTTGAGGGTATTAATAGATCAAGGCCAAAGCTTAAAAAGAAGTTTCAAATCTAGGAACCTGCCCTAGAGACAGCCTTCCTTATGACTTTACAAACATCTTTGCCCTTATCCCATTCAGATGCTTTTAATCTAAAAATGTACATGATTCAGATTGCTCTTGGAGCAGCTTTATCAGGGTCTTGCAGCGTTATCTGTATCTTTGCAGTTTATGTCTTGTGGTGTGTGGTTATATTGACGTTGACTTTCTGCTTGCTGATGCTACTGGTCAGCTCCCAAGGTCAACCCCAATCAAAGGCACGGAACATACTGCTTTTTTTGACAATTGTATTGCTACTTCTTAAGTGGATTGACTTTATTAGCACAGGGATGTTTGATTGGGTGAACATAAAGGAGTTTGGCCATGAGCTCCCATCTGGGTATACTAGACTCAGTCGTGATATGCAAACTCTAGGATTATTTGTGCAGCGAATTCCTGTATGTATCCTGTGTGCTGAATTCCAAATGCCGCTAGCATACTGATCATTTCTACAGTACATAATCAGTGATGCAATTGTGCTCTGGAGGGCTTGGATCCTGTATCCTAGGATCATTGTTGTTAAGACCATCTTGATATGTCTCATGTTTGCATCTCTAGGTAAGAATGGCTTTAGTGACCAGTAATTGAATTAGCTTATTGATAATTCTACCTAGGTGGCATAATTTTAGATATTGAGCATGATATAGCGGATCAATTTGAGATTTCTACAAATGCTGTTGATCCAAGGCTTGTAGTCACTCTTTATCTTGTCTTCTCATTACTTGCAAATGCAGTTGCCACTTCCCTTATCATTTACAAAGCATGGTATGCTTCGAATTATGGTTTTAGGTCCTATCACTAAATACCATATCTATAACAGGTGCTTTCGTGCCACTATCGTAAAAAATATGGGCTCAAGTGGCAGCTCTCGAAACCAAATTTTAAAAGTACTAGTTCTCTTGGCTGAATCAGGGATAACTTACAGTATATGCTGGGTAGGTCCCTTTTAGTAATTAATTTTCAGATTTAAGTATTTATAAAAACAATGATTAAATCCATTGCCATTAGACTCTCTATGCACTTTCAATCTTACTTCCAATAGACCAAAATAATGGAACGGCTGGACTTTCTTTCTTCATCATTTTATCATCACTATCACCAGCAATAGCGGTTAGTTGCCACAGCTTTATTGTTGAGTTTCTACTGAAACATTCACTACTTTACAATTTTCAGTGCATGTATCCAGCACTTGTCATTCTCATTGCCGCCCATGAGAAATTAAAAGTTGATGACAGTGACATGTCTCTGTCTCGATCAATTCAATTTGCTTCACAATACAACACAGAAAATTCATCTACAGTCTAATTATAAGCCTGAAATCTATGTCATACAGCAAGAACTGCTGAAAAGTGAAGGTTTATCTTCAAAGCTTTTGTTTTGTCTGGCTGCGAAAATAAATATAATGTACCAGTAAATCAATATTAGCAACAATGCAATAAATATTGGTTGAGCCTTCCTCAAATTTATGGAAACCCATTTTGATAGATAAAATTGATTGTTCAACCTTCTTATACTTCATTCACCTTGGCTCATTGCTGATTTAAATCCTCGAAGTCTGAAGAATTTCTTTTAATATAATCATGTACCTGAAGCCGACAATACTTTACTCCTCATAACAATATGTCAACTAATATCATCATGGCCGCAACTCCAAGTATAACTCCCCATCCGCGTCCTTCCCAGAATTGATCAGCAACCTTGCTTGACCCCGAAGGAACTTGACCAGTAGGCTCGCTCGGAAACTGGCTTACAACTGTAGTTAGCGGGAGTTTAACTCCACCGGCGTTCTGGCCCAGTGCGTCTGGGGACAAGACAGTAACTGTCTTGTTCAAGATGAATGTCTGCCACGAGAACGGTTCGGGACCACAATAGCTTGAATTTGCTTGAAGAGGGTCGGATGAGAGTCCGTAGGTGATGTTCCAGTGGATGGTATACCTTCGAATGTACATAAGTGGAGATTATATTATGGCAATTGACTAATAAACTTACTCTCCAGAAGCATCAGCTCTAACCGTGCTCCCCCCTCCACCACCATTACACGCCAAACCACGGCAATCTAGTAGATCACCAATGACGACTCCTAAAAGTGTCGTACCATTCGGATGCGTCACGGTGATGTTGTAAAAAGATATCAACCCATGAACACCCGAGCAGCTTGGATCGTCTGGAGCGATAGCAAATACTTCGAATGTTGAGTTGAACGGGATATTATCTGAGGCTACTGGATAAGTGATGGAGATGTGATCGGGTGGGGAGGCTGCTTGAATAGGATAAATGAAGGTGGAGATGAGGCTGAGGAGGATGAGGGATGCAAGGTTTATAGGCGTCATTGTGATCATTACGTTCATTACAGCAGCTTGATTACGGGAGTTCCGGTAGTACTCACTCATTCGAGGACCTGCCTTATAAGAGTTCTAGAGACAGATTATTATCAGGATATTATGCAAGCTTCGATCTTATTAACGCCCAAGTGCTCCACCCCGTATAAAAAGTATGTGAGCATTCGCACTGCTACATGTACTACATATGCACGGCATTATCCTTTCCGTTCAAAGGATCCACCGCTCGGCAAGTGAAGCTGTAGTTCTTCTGTTCTTAGTAAATGTGCAAATAAGTGATCTGAAACCCGGATTAGAATTCTAGTTTGAATCGTTTGGAGCCACCTTGACACGATTTCCACGCGGTCTCCACGCGGTCTATTCAGTCCGGGAGACACTGGCTTAACCAAATGTAAGAAGCCCAGATCGTCAATGTGGTTGGAAAGTACCCGTTAGAGATTGTTGAAACAGATACATTCACCCGTAAGTACTCTCTTCTGATCCTTTAGACTCTTGCTTAACGTATTAAATGTGTCACTTTGCCATAGTGGTTAACGGGATGTCCAGTAAATGGATCGTTGCCCGCGTGCGTTCGAAGCGCATAGGTGTTCATAAGGAGGTATCATTCTGTTTTTTTTTTTTAGTTTTATGAGAATAAAATACTCTTAAAAATAGAGAACTAAGGTAGATTAGTACTTGATTTTTCTAGGTACTCGGTTAGTTATCAAGAGGAAGAGCCCCTGAACAATTCAGAAGGTACAATAAATTCCTGCTTTCTCGTACTTGGATTCGTAAAGTTATGTACCACGGGATACCAATGTATGCTTTCCTTTCCCCAAATCCTCAAATTGTTCCAGAGCAGGGACCCCTAAACGCGTTTCAAAATTTCAAATTTCTTCAATATGGTAAACCCTAGCGACTGGCTCACATCCTATCGCATCGTTACTTTGCCGGAGTGGTTAACGGGATGGCCTGCTATTAGCTCTCCGTTGTGACTCAGGCAGCCATTGGGCTTTGCCCGCGTGTGTTCGAATCGCACAGGTGACGATAAGACGTTGGTAGGTTATACTTTTTGGCACGGAGTCACGATGTATTTGGGAAGAAAAAAAAGGGATAATCCAAGTTACCAATGTGTAGAATCGTTTAGTTGATTGCTTATCTACCTATCTAGATCCATATATGATGGAGAACGTACGACAGACAAGTTATTGATTACTTGGTGTCGGTACGGTGAAGGGTAGTACTGCCGAGATACTACAAGTTCTGGTTGAACAACTCGCACTCAGCTCGAGGTATAATCATATCACAAAACGCAAATCCAATAAGCCGGAAACCGAAACTAAAACTATACCTATCGCTACATACGTATCTACTACGTACTATGTAGAATAAACGAGTCCGAGTCGTCTGACAAAGCTGCAGTGAGAAGAATCCGAGTATTTTTGTTATCGAGTAATGGCGCGGCCACTTCAGAACGGAATATCGGGGTAGACTAGGATTGAGAGACTTGGACCAGGAGAAGTATACACCACAGGAAAAAAAAAAGGAAAAAGGGGAAGAAATATGAATACGAGCTGTGTGTTATGTGTTATGTTATGGTGCGAGAAGCGATAGAATAGGTAACGCAGAGTCAACAAGACATGGGGGATATACATACATGCATACATACATAGAGTAGCGTAGAGTAAAGGGAATGGGATGGTATTAATGTACTTGAAAGGGTGGATGCATGGGCTACGAGGGTGTCGGGATCTGGAGGCGGAGAGAGACAGAGAAAAGGCGAGAGGCGAGTAGCTGGATTGCCAATGTGTATTATAGCGCGTAGAAAACAAAGAGTCCAGGAGGAAAGTAACAGTGCATAGAAGGACGGCTAGTAGTGCTTCCGTATTGGTGGAAGCAGTAGCGGGGGGAAACTTGCAGGGTAGACGTCGTCGGGACCTCTACCCAAACCTAAAAGTTCCCAACAGTCCACTCTTCCCAATCTCCATCTTCATCTTCATCATCCTCGTCCTTCTCTCCATCACCGAGTCACGACTCTCCCTTTAACCCACCAAGATGAGGATCAATCTCCCCATCCGACGAACTCGAAGTCGTCCCTGCACCTGTCGACGATGAACTCGAATTCGTACTCGCACTGCTATTCGTGGAAGTCGTTGAACTAGCAGGTGAAGTCGACGTCGAAGGGCCGTTGTTGTTGCCTGGATTACCTGGTGTAGGGGTAGCATTCTGACTCGTCGATTGAGGCGTCTGAGCCTGCGCCTGTGCTTGTGCTTGTGCCTGAGCAGCAGCAACAGCCGCGGCCGCAGCTGCAGCTTGAGCTTGGAATGGTGTTGGTCCGACCAATGTTCTCTGGAACCTGGCTCGGATATCGGCTGTTGCAGCGTCTGTAGGGATATGGTGGTGTACAGGAGGGTAAGCTAGGGTAGGGATGGTTCCATTGAGGGCACTAGAGGTCGTTGCGCTAGGAGCGACACCGACATTGACGGAAGAGTTGGGAGGGTGTGGGTCATAGTGTGTACCAGGAGGTGGGCCACCATGTTGTTCATAGTGTTGACGGCGCTGTGCGAATAGGGGGTCAGTGAAAGTATGGCAGGATACTGGGGGAAAAAACGCACCTGTCTATCCCATTGATCCCAGGCATCCGCAATAATCGGTTCCAGTGAAGCCAACTCTTCGTTTGTCATTTGCAGATTGTTCAACAAATGCTGCTTCAAAAGTGGTGCACAGGAAAAAGACAACAGCAATGTAGTTGCAAACATTTGCCCGCCATTGCCTTGGATATGGGGCAGAGACGGCTCTCCAGGCTGGCCATCGAGATGCGGAGGTGGTGGAGGAGGTGTATGGTGTAACTCTGGGGGTAAATACTGTGCTTCTGGCGGAGCAACACCTCGGTAGGCCACGTCTGAATCGTGCATAGCTTGGTCTTGCTGCATACCGTCGTTGCCCATCAACATGCCGAGCTGCTCGAGTTTTCTCTGCTTGACCAACGCACGATGTTTCCTCTGGCGTTCCCTGGCAGCAGCCCTGACCCTATCGCGCCTGACAATCTCGTCTGGGGTGAGGTCCTGGTCTGCGGGGTTTGCACGAGGGGGGGCATAGTCGTTGGGCTGGTGTGCGAGGCCGTCCATGTCGATGTGGGGGTGCATTGCAGAGGCAGCAAGACCTGCTCTGTCGCGTTCGCGTTTGCGACGTTGGCGTTCAGCGGCCTTTTCGCGTTTGATCTTCTGACTGGGTGTCTCGTCTTCACGGGGACGTTTCTTGGACTGGGGTGTGCTGGGACTGTCGGTCAGCGTGTTCATCATATATTTTATTTCCTCCACTAGCTGTGACGGGGCGTGGATTGTCGAGAGCCCTGGTGACAATTTCGTGACCGACGGTGACCGAGGTGACTGAGAATTCGAGGCAAAATGTGTCACAAACAGCAGTTGGCGGTGTTTGACAAGAAAGAGTGGCGTGGGAATACGGAGTAAACATTGACAAGCAGAGGAAAATTGTGAGCAATAATCAGAGAAAAGAGCTCAGTAAATTCAAGGCTTCTTAAAACGGAATAGCCCTTTGCATAAACGTCTACTAGTCGCATTTACCGTTCTTCTGTTCCAATAACAATTCATCCAAATTGTTGCAAAAATGCAAACAAGATGGTTTTGAGGCAATGCAGAGCTACTGCGACGAATGTGCTTCAAGTCTGAGAATCATCGTATTCTGGTGAATCATGCACATGCGTCGGACAATTTAGAACTCAGCGATATTGAAATCAATATAATTGGAGTACCCCACATAAATAAAAATAAATCAGAGACGACCGGAAAACATCTACATAACAAAATGGATATCGTCACCTGTGCGATTCGAACACACGCGGGCAAAGCCCAACCGCTTGGCTGCTTACATAAGTAGCAGGCGATCCCGTTAACCACTCCGGCAAAGTGACTACAGTCTTTACAACTCTTGATTTCATCATCTTCTCCCCTCTGAAGTTTAGCTAAATGTCATACAGCCATTCATTCTACAACGAAAAGAAAACTTGGTGTATAGGCATTGCATGTGTATATCTGCTACATCAACAAGAAAAACTAGAAATTAGTAAATAGACTATAGCGCATATTGCCAAAGTAACAAGTATGTAGAATATGTATGCACAATAATAATTCAGTACAAGAATGGTGTATACAAGGCTAGCCAAACAGGAGCAGGAATAAGGTAGCTCGCGGGATTCAAATGAAAAATGCAAAGGGTGTAAAATACAACTGTCGTCGTCGTCAGAAAAGGCTCATTTGTCAAGAAAAAAAAACTGCAAAAAAATACCGCATATGCACACAGCACATATACGGCACACGGCTAATCGTCAAAGCAAAGGGCTACCCATTTCACCTCTGCCCTTGGTTCTGTTGCTGCTGTTGCATCATCTGCTGCATCTGGGACATCGAAATCGACGTTTCCAACGGCGACCTCTGTGTCTGTGTCTGTCCCTGCGTCCCCATAGGCACCTGCTGACTAGGACCAGGACCAGGACCTCCCATATGCTGCGGCATCATCTGGCTCATCATACCTGGATGCATCATCCCCTGAGACATGTTCATATTAGGCATAGGAGAAAGCCCCATCATCTGCATACCCAGTACGTGTTCTACCAAACCAGGAGGTATGTTCTGGAGACCCATACCAGGCTGGAGCATACCCATACCCATGGGCATCGGGGGTCCACCATTCATGCCGTTAGGACCGGGGCCAGAGATCGAGGGAGACCCAGACGGATGCTCAGATTTAATCTCTGTAGACCCAGCTCGCGAGTGGTTCTGCGACGCAGAGCTTGGACGACCGTTAGAGAGAAGATTCCCAGTAACCTGGAACGCAGCTCCATTCTGTCCCTGACTCTGACTCTGGTTAGGTGGAGAAGGCAACTTTTGGGGATTCGGCGCAGAAATCGATCCATTGGAACCCCGAGCCTCTCTCAACGACGCGAGGTTATCCTTTCCCTTCCTCCTACTACTGGGTCCGGAGGATATCGACGGCGCCGGCGTAGGCTGTTGTTGAGTCGCCTTGGCGACTTTTCTTCGAATCGCTGCTGGTTTTGCCGTCGCCTTTGACCTAGACGAAGAGGTGCGACCGCCGGTGTACTCGCCGTCGCTGTCGTCATCGCTATCATCCGCAGTTGCTCCAAAGAGTCTCTTCCTCTTCGCTGATGAAGACACGGACATTGACGCGACGCCGGAAGTGACAGAGGTGGGTTTCTTGTAAGAGGTGGGAGAGGGTATGTTAGATTTTTTGATGTCCTTGATGTAATTGAGCATAAACTTGCTGATTCGGCTGTTCATTCGGATATCTTTATGTTCTTGACGAACTCGAGCACGAAGGTCGGATATGACAGAGGACAGTTCTTGGGGAGTGAGTCTATTCTCGGGTTTGGCTTGGACACCGTGAACGTAGATGAGGATGGCGAAATTTATCATTTCCATGGGGGAGACCTAATCAAAATGAACAGTCAATGAAGCGAAAATCCTCTTCAGTATCAACACATACCTTTGGATACGCATAAAACGCCGGATTCAACTTGGGGTCACGAACAATGTTTACAAATATGTCATACGTCTCCGTAACCTTTTTCTTAAACACATCTGGGACCTGAGGCGCGTCGATATAATCCCCATCATCAATCTGGTCCTCTTCCTCTTCCTCATCCTCGTCCATATCATCAGCGCCCTTCTTCGACTTGCTCTTCCGTGGACGGCCAACAGTTCTCTTCTTCCCCGCCGCTTTCTCTTTTCCATCCGATGCTCCCGTTTCCTTTAACCATTTTTCTATTTGTGCAAGCGAACCCAAGGTCGTGACGACGTTTGATGTCCATTTGCTCATGACAAAGACGGCTTGGGATATACATCTGAAATCAGAACCACGAGCGCGGTCCCATGGAAGACGGGGATCTCCAAGCGTAGAATCGGAGACGTGAGTCTTGAGAAGCTCACGGATAAATTGGGCGCGAGGAGTAGCGATGACGTGAAGTTTTTCTGCAGAGGTAAGGGCCATGCCAAGTTGGACGCGCTATATTG